TTGGAGTGCAGTGGTGCTGTCTCAGCTCAGGAGGCTCATTGCAACCTCCACCTCCTGGATTCAAGTGATTCTCCTGACTCAGCCTCCTGAGTAGCTGGGATTCTAGGCACCGTCACCATGCCTTGCGAATTTTTGTGTTTTTAGTAGAGATGGGGTTTCACCATGTTGGTCAGGCTGGTCTCAAACTCCTGACTTCAAGTGATCTGCCCATCTCAACCTCCCAAAGTGCTGGGATTACAGGCCTGAGTCACTGTGACTGGCCTGATTTATCTTTATCTTTGTCCTCTGTCTGTAACTTGTAATTTTCCTCTGCTTGTTTTTGCGATTTTTCTCTTTGTTGCTGGTGTCAAACAAATTGATTATGATGTGCTTAGGTGTAATTTTCATTACGTTTCTTATGCTTTGGGGTCATAGAACTTCTTGCATATGTGGGTTCATAATTTCATCACATTGACACATTTTTAATCACCTTTACTTCAAATATTTTTTCTGTCCCTTCCTCCCACATTCACCCTCAGAGATTCACATTCATGTATATTGTAATTACAACCACGCTTCAAGATGTCTCATAGCTCATGGATGCTCTTTTTTCCCTTGGTCACTTACTCTATTTGGATGGCTTCTATTGCTACATGTTCAAATTCCTTAATCTTTTCTTCTATAGTATCTAATCTGCCACTGTTCTCATCAAGTATAATTTTTAATTCAGGCACTGTGTTTTGAATTCCTTGAAATTCAATTTGGATCTTTCTATAACTTATTTGTCTCGAATTAACATGGTCAGTCCTAATTTTAACTTCGTAAGTACATGGAATACAGTTATAACAACTTTTAACATGCCCATTCATATTAACTCTATCATCTGCATCATTTATGAGTTGAGTTCCATTTATGGACTTTTCTTTTCCTGTGCGTCATACTTTCCTGATTCCTGTCAAGAACTATGAGGACTCTGAGATTTTACCCTGCTTGAGCCACAATTCCATGGATGCTGACATAAGACAAAGACTTCTGGGTCAAAGATAAAGAACAGTTTATTATTCAGAGAAATCACAGTAACCAGAGTATTAGTGTCTGTTCTCTCAGTCCTGATTCCCACATGGTGCCATAGGTGGACCAGCTGATTCCTGCACACTCAGTGGGTGATATCATAGGGGAGGAATCTTGAACTTAGAGAATGTATTAGTCTATTTTCATGCTGCTATGAAGAAATACCCAAGACTGGGTAATTTATAAAGAAAAGAAGTTTAATGGACTCACAGTTCCACATGGCTAGGGAGGCCTCATAATCATAGTGGAAGGCAAGGGAAGTGCAACTGCATGTCTTACATGGTGGCAGGCAAGAGAGTGTGTGAAGGGAAACTCCCTTTTATGAAACTATCATATCTCGTGAGGCTTCTTCACTATCATGAGAACAGCATGGGAAAGCCCACCCCCGTGATTCAATTACCCCCCACAGGGTCCCTCCCACAACACGTGTGGATTATGGGAGCTACAATTCAAGATGAGATTTGGGTGGGGAGACAACCAAACCATATCAGAGAATCTCAAGACTCTCTCAATCTTTTAAAATGCACAATAAGTATGTATGCTCTTTAATTTGAAGAGAAACATGATCCTTTTCAAAGACAGAAGTAGTGCCTCTGCTCACAAAATATGCAGAAATACGAAAGACTCATGGAGAGTTGTCTTGCAATACTTCTTTGCATGCCTGGTAATTTTGTTGATTTTACTTTATTGGGTATGAGATATATTTATAATTTTTATAAATATTTTTGAGCGTCATTCTAAAATGCAGTTAAGTTACTCAAGAGATATTCTGATCCTTTCAAGTCTCACTTTTAAGCTCTACTGGGGAGGACAGGAGAAGCAGTTAGTCTATTGCCTGTTTTGCTCCACTACTAAGGCAAAAACCTTCCGAGTTCTTTATGAATGTTTAGGCTTTCCAGCCTGGCTGGTGTGAACAAGCACTTCTTCTAGCCCTGCATAAGCTCCAGGTATTACTCTTTCAGATCTTTTTTAGTGTTCCTACCCAGTTGAAGACTGAGGGGTTCCTTCTGTAGACCTCTGAGCATTCCCTCTGTGGAGCTCTCTTCTCTGTAGAATGCTACCTTGCAAACATTAGCTACCTTGGCCTCCTAGGACTCTCACCTCTGTCTCCTCAATGTGGAGAGTTTGCTGGGCTCCCTCTGGGTTCCTCCTCTCTGCACCACAGCCTGGAAACTCTCCAGGCAGCCAGCTGGGCAATTACAGGGCTCACCTCATTTCCTGACTCTCAGGGGCCACTGAGACAAAGTTTCAACACTAATTGGTACTTTTACTCTTCATGTTAATGGAAAAACATTTGAACACTTAAAATTAATTTACCTCATTCCAATAAATGCCATTATTGTGGTATATTTTAAGGTTATGTATATCTTAACTCCATAAGACATTACTGTCAGTATTGATTTATACCATCAATATTTATCTAGACTTATCCAATAATTACCATTTACCTTGCTCTTAATTCCTTCCTTTATCTTTGGCCTTCTGTTTGGGATTAATAGCTTTCTACTTGCAGAACACCAGAATTCTCTGGTGATGAACTGTGCCTTTCTTTTTGGTCCAAAACGTCCTTCATTTACCTTTATTTTTGAAACATACTATTCCCCTGGGTTTAGAATTCTTGGTTCACAGCTATTTTGTTGTATTATCTTCTTATTTTCATTATCCATATTGAAAAGTCAGCTATCAGTCCAAGAGCTTGAAGATAGATTTTAGATGTTTTGTTTCTCTTTGGTTTTCAGGAATTTTACTATGATGGGTCTTGTTGTGGATTTATTTATTTATATTTATTCTGCTTGGAGTTCAAAGGGCTTTTGGAACATTTGGCTCTGATGTCCTTCATCAATATGGGAAATTTCTCACCACATTCTTCAACTATTGCTTCTGCCCAATTGTCTCCCTCCTTCCTGTCTGGGACTCCAACTGTACTTGTGATAGACTTTGTCATAAGATCCTTAATATCTTTTTCCCTTTCTTTAGTGTTTGCCATCCTTTTTCCCCTACTATTTTTGTTTATTTTGGGTACATTCTGACCTAACTTCTAGTTCAGGAATCTTCTTTCAGCTGTGTCTAATATGTTGTTCAATCATAAATTCATTCATTGAATTCTTAATTTCAGTTACAGCATCATTTACTTCTAGACTCTTTCATTGCAAAATTTATTTTGTTTTGAATTCCTAGTTCTCAGCTAAAATTTCCAATCTTATCTTTATCTCCTTATACATACTCAACATGATTATCTTATACTTTGTGTTTATAACTCTAATATTTTCAGCTCATATGAACTTACTTCTCTTGCCTTATTGTTTTGTTTTTCATGTTACCCTTTTTCCCTCATTTTTGGGGGTATTTTTTATGTGTGTGCAGGACATTATATTTTGCAAATTATTTACATAAATGATTTGAAGCCTATAACACTCTTTTTCACTCCTGGTAAATATTTTACATTTGCTTTTCTTAGATGCCTGAGGGGACTAGCAATCTGGGCTGGTCTTAACTTAATGTGGGGATTGAGATGATTTGAAGCTGGGCAGCAGTCCAAGGCCAATCTACTGCTCATTCATTCTTCTGCTAGGATACATATCTTTGGGGTTTCAACCCCAAAACAGAGAGTTTATCAGGAGCCATAGCCTTTTTCAGCAACAGAGCTCCAGACACCTTCTGTAGAATCAGCAAATGCCCTAAGGTAAAAAGAGTTTCAAATTCTGGGCTAACATATCTGGAGATTCATTGCTTCCCAGAACTTAGCTTTACAGTTCTTCAGTATCTTATTAGCTCACTGATGCCTTTAGATAGTCTCTCTCTCTCCATATGTATATGTATAATATATAATACATAAATATATGTATTTTTTGTTAGTTGTCTTCAGTAGGAGAAATGGTCTAAGTTAGACTTTCATTATTGAATGTTAGTCTCTCCTTTTTCTCATTTTCAAACAACACATACTATAAATTTCAAAGTTAAAGACATATATTTAGGTAAGACATTTTGATCCTAATTTTGAATAGTTATTTCAAAATTATTTGATAGAACATAATTATGTCAACATTTTCATACATTTAATTAGTCTCTTACCATATAGTCCCTTTCAAATGTGCCTTCCTCAGTCTTGAGTTTTGTCTTCCTTTCTATATTTATTGTTTTTGCTCAGGCCTTCTGTTAGTTTATTCAGAAAGGATAACAAGGTGGCATATTTTCTTAATCTTTGTATTCCTGAGAAAATATTGCTCTGACTTCATGTATAAATAATGACTTCATTAAATATGGAAACTGTGCCCTTTAGAGCTGTGGAAACTGTGACTATTTTCTTCTAGCTTTTAGGGTTGTGGAAGAAGAAAGTTAAGGCTAATCTGATTCTGGTGGTTTTAATTACTACCTGATTTTGACTATGCTTAAAAAGCCTTTATCATTTATCTTCAGAAATTCCGTGAAGCTATGCAGATGTCTGTTATGAGTTTTTCCTTTGCCTATAAATATAATGTGTACTGTCATGTTTTGGGTGGAAGAACTGGTTTACATCAGGACATTTTTTTTTCTGTTATTTTTCTAAAGATTGTTTCATTTCTGTTTGTTCTATATTCCCTTCTTAATATCCCAAGAATATGTGGATTTAATCCCCTGCATTTATTCTCCATGTTTTTCAATGAAATATTTATTCTCATTGTTACAACACATTCATCTCAGTGTTTGCAAACCCAGTGCTTATAGAATTCAGGCAAATAACAAAAAACAAAATAAATGAAGCCAGCCTGGCACAAAAGTAATGAGTGATGAGGATTCTGGAAAGCAAAAGTGTCATCTAAAGAGGGCAGCTACTGCTCAACTGGTATTCAGTGCTAATAAAGTGTTATTGGAATTCAATATTTTTCCAGAAAAATTCAAGTCTGTGGGGTTTTTTTTTCCTATTTCACAGCAGAAGAAAAGAAAAGCTAATAAAGGATTTCACAACTTACCATCGGGATGATCTTGGTCACACACAGAATGATCTGTCACTTCGCCGCCTTTTGTAATATTGTCATCCTTTGCAGAATCTAACAACCACCAAGCAAAACCTTTAGTCAGCATTTTTAAATTGGAAATAGAGCAGCTTTCAGTACTAACATGATAGACTTATGTTTGAGGAAAAATAGAATTTACTACTTTAAAAAATAACCGCAAATACATATGTTTGCCAATAAATAGGTGTTTCCCCACCCCCCCGCCCCGCCCCCGTACTATGTGAGATATCTGCTCAAAGCTTACAAAGGCAGAGATGTAGCTAGCTGGGATATCTTTTTGCAACAAATAAGAAAATAAAAGCAATCTTTTTGCATCAGGGAAAGTCTTAGAACTGTAGGAAAGGATAAAAAAGGAAGGCAAAATAGAGAAGATTAAAGGACTATCTAATTTTAATGTTCTTAATGCTTCCATTACTGTGGTTGCTCACATATGGGAGTCTTGAGTCCTTGAAAAAGTCAGATACAGAACCTTGAAATCCAGTGGTAATTAAGTTCATCTTCCTCGGAAACCATAACAGTAGAACAATAGCATAGAAGGAATGCAGACCTTCTGGTCTCTGCAAGGTCATTCCCTCCCTCGTTTAGCACATTTAAACATGGAATCATTGTACACTTATTATTATTATTATTTTGTTATAGGATATGGTTACAGGAAAAAAACATGGCTAAAAGGATTCCGTGACTATGGGCTATTGCAAAACTATAAAGGGCTCCTTGCTAAATATTTAGGTCTCCCTGGAGGCTGTTTAAAAAAGCATTGGAATGATCCTGTGAATGGATCAACAGGAAGACAGCAAGTAGATCTCTCATTCATTTTCCAAACATTTAATAATGGCCAAGTATATGCCAGGCACTTTTTTTAGAAAGTGTCTCTGTTACCCAGGCTGGATGCGGTGCTGCAACTGTAGCTCACTGCAACCTCAAACTTCTGGGCTGAAGTGATCCTCCTGTTCCAGCCTCTGTAGTAGCTAGGACCATAGGCATAGGCCACCATGCCCACTTAGTTTTCTAATTTTTTGTATAGGCAGGATTTTGTAATTTTGCCCAAACTGGTCTTGAACTCCTGGCCTCAAAGGATCCTCCTGCCTCATTCTCCCAAAGTGCTGGGATTATAGGTGTGAGCCATCACACCTCACTAAACTTGATGGTGGGGAGCCAACAGGAAACAAAACACCAAATCTCTGCCCTCATGGAGCTTATAGTCTAGTAGATATTTTTCATGCTGCTGTAAGGAAAGCAATCCAAAGATATCTAAAAGTCATAAGCTAATCCTGTAAGCATGTGGCCATGGAGAAAGCTGGGGGTGGTACACCAACACCTTGATTACTTACAAACGGATTCTCTACTGAATTTGTGTCTCTTGGTTGAGTTTTAACTCCCTAACAGAGCTGAATCAGATGGAGTCTAAAACAAACTATTCTTTGTTTGTTTCCTTTTCCTCCCTCCCTCTGTCTCTCTCCACTCATTTCCTCTCAAAATTAGGAGATAGCTTTAAACAACATGGTTTGGAATATTATGAGAAAGTTTGTTTCTTGAACCTGCCACAAGCAACATTTGATGGACAAGTGAGAAACCTGGGTAGTTAACATATGATTCAAATTTAATAACCAGTGAAGCAAGTATTAATATATACCCGAAGTGTGTGGCTTTAATTAACTGCAAATAATTCCCCCAAGGCAAATGTTTAATTATCTGCACTGCTTCTTATTTCTTTCTGAGACTGACAATAAGTCTAAAAGTCCAAATTTGGAAGCAAAACTGAGCACAGACACATTTGCCAAACTGTTATGTAACTCATGTCAAATTGTTTTAAACCAGCTCCCATTAAAAAATGCTCTTTTAATTTCGGAGCTAAGATGCCAATTGAAAAAAAAATTTTGAATATTTTTCTCACATGAACACTAAAAATATACAATGATTTAAAAAGGTATTATATAGATCAGGCTAAATTTTAAATTTGAAAGTGTTTTAGTTTTAGTTGTTTATTAAAAATGATATTATTTGATATTTCGTCTTGTACAACATTAATTTCTCTCAACATCAATGTTATAGAATTATCCAAGATTTTGTATTTAGTTAAAATTTATTCATTTACACTGAACAATAATTCATTGTTGTTAATCATAATGTTACATAAACATTATGATTCTGCACCAAATATCAATAAGAAATGTCTCTTCAATGGTGATTTACATTGAGTTTACAAGTTTATGATCTAATGAGTCACATAAGATGGGTGAAAGCGTTTGAAAAATTGCTCACCAGACTGTATCTGTTTTATCACCAAAATCTGTGTCTTTAGCAAATAAATTATCTTTGTAATTTCAATATTCTTGGGGAGTTGCTTTAACATTATTGAGGCACCTTCTGATATGTTTCCATGTAATGCATTTCATTGCATCCAAGATACCATCAGTTGTTCTTTGCACTATTATTTTATGTAGTATAACACATTTTCAGTTCTAAGAGAAGCCCTGACTTTAGAAATAAAATATATGAAAGAATATGCATTTTAGAAAAATGCCGTTTTAGTATATTCGATGTGTGCACACAAATATACATGTCTTTATGTGATGACAAGGATTTCATATCAGCATGACCCACCACCCAACCCACAAGCTCACTGTCATGTATGTGAGACTTTTCTCCAGAAATGGTTCTACCTCCACACATCAATAAAGTAGGAGGAAAAGTACTATATAACCTCATGACAATATTCACAAATAAGCAGGTACCTATGGAAGATGGTTTCCAGCAAAGTTACTTTATTTATAGGGATCTCAGAATTTCTAGTCTCATAACCTTTAGCAGGCTTAGATTTGATTCTGTATCTTTTACATCATGGATCTCATTACATTATGTTTAGTTGTAGGTTTGAAGTGGCAGTGCAGCTTTTCTGCTTAGGGGGTGATGAAAGCTGCACTGGATAGGTACATGAAATCCTTACTCATAATGATGGAGAAAGAAAATATATATATTCATGATCTGAATATTTGTGTCCCCCTAAAATTCCTAAGCTGAAATTCTAACTGCCAAGGTGATGGCATTAGGGGGTGGGGCCTTAGGAAGGTGATTAGATCATAAAAGTGGAGCCTTCATGAATGAGATTAGTACCCTTAAGAAAAAGATTTAAAAAGGTCCCAGAGAGTCCCCTTACCCTTTCCACTATGTGAGGACACAGTTAGAAGGCACCATCTATGAACCAGAAAGTGAGTTCTCACCAGATACTGAATCTTCTGGTGCCTTGATCTTTGACTTCCCAGTCTCCAGAACTGTAAGAAATGAATTGCTGTTGCCTATAAGCCACCCAGTTAATGCTATTTTGTTGTAGGAGCCTGGACTAAGACACCAGTGTATATGGCCACTAAAATAACTTATTATTTCTATGTAAGTTCTGTAAACTACACTAAAAATGTAGTTGCATATAGTAAACTCTTGCAGCCCCTTGGATTTGCATTTTATTTAATTCTAAAAATTATCATTTGGTAATGTTCAAAAACGTGTAAAATAGTTATCACCTAATTCTGAGATTCAGTCAATGTTATTTTAATAACAGAGAACTGGAATTAAATTTATATGTAGCTTCTGACTTTCAAAATCTTTAAGGTCAATGTCATATTTAAAGAATTTTTTCAAATGCAAATATTAAATCAAATATTCAAGCCAAAGGGCTGTAGATAGATGTGCTTTTAAGATTAACCAGAATAAAAAAGAAACACTTTCATAAATTAAAAAAGAAAAAGCCCTCACTTAGAAAGTTGAAAAGGTTTAAAGGAATATTTAAAATAGATTAAAATAAAATGAAAAACCTCATAAAACAGAAATTCTGAAAAGTAGGTCACTTTCAATGCAGTTAATTACACATATCTACATGGAATATTACATGTATGGATTTAAGCTGTGGCAAAAGATGATGAAACTATTGAATTTTTAACAAAAATATCTTAACTGTAAGTGAAAATAAATACTATCTCTATCTAAGATGTCCCTTTAGAACAAAAGTTCTTAACCCTCAGGGATCCCTGGGTATGCTATATGTGTCTACCAATCCTTTTGAAAAGATATGCAAAATGTGTGTATATGTTTGTATTTCTGGCAGAAGATAGCATCCACCATATTAGCTCTATGAACCCACCAAGGTTAAAAATAATTTAAAATGTGTACCTCAATGCCAGTGATACTGCCATTTTACAAAAGATTTTCCAGACCATTTTGAGAAATTAGCTACTGAGCTTGATTCCTGCGCCATGAATTAATCAATGATGGCAAATCTTGAATTCTTAAGGTAGATGTGATTTGAGAAAATAGCCAACAAATATAGAGATGTGTTAAATAAATGAGAGGGATAATCCAACTGGCAAAAAACCATGTTGCATCAAAATTAGAGGTGATTATAAAGTATAAAACTGACTGCATGATTAACTGTCTTTGAAGATAACTATTCAAGCTACGTGGTCTAAAAAATGCACCGAGTAAGAGAGGAAGCCCCTGACTATTATTCAGAGTGATGATAGGAGGTCATTTTGGTATAGAAGTTCTAATGGGTCTGAACAAAAAAAAATGCTATACACAAAAACCGAAACATAAAATAGTCTTTCTCTGTAATGCGTAAATGTCTACACAGGAGTACCAGAGCTTGATGCAAAAATTGCACAGAAACACCATCACCTGGATTTTCTTTGATTCTTGTTAACTGATTTGATTATACCATGCAAAACATTTATCCTGGCCTGCTCGTTAGAGTCTCTGGCTTATTATGTGAAGCAATTAGGACAAAGTAATTTTTCCTCCATCTGAACCAGGTGCTTTTCTAAATAAACGAGAGTCTCCCCAGTCGATAATGTTCTTACTGAAACTTTGCGGCGGCTATTCTTTTATATAGGAAAAAACTATCCTGCAACACATTCCCAGACTATTCTGATGCTGATGATCTGAACTGGGCTTGGTCCCAGTGAAGCTGGATAAACAAGGCTGAACTATATTTACCTGAAAAGTAACAGGGCCCATAGACAGGACAATGCTCAGGGCATCAG